CAGAACAATTGAGCATACGACGATGGCAACTGATAAACAGTAAATTCGACAACACTGCATTTTACATGATCTCCAACAAGGCATTCGTGTTGCCTCTAAAGCACGGTGGGGGGAATCATTTTGCGGTGTTTTTGGTGCCGACGATTCAGAAGTGACGACTTCGATCGTAGTGACAAGCCGCGCCCACCACAGCAGCCTCGACAGTTTGAAGATGCGACATTGCAAGCTCACCAGCATGAAGACTCAACACAAACGCAACAGCAGCTTGAAGCAGCTCAGTTAGGACTCACACAAGCCACCTATTTCCAAGCCCATGCACCATCAATTGGCAACAATTCAAACACATGGAAGGCGGAACCCACTTGTGCTGATCACACACAACCTCTATTTTTGTCGTATGCAACAAATTTGCTTTAAAATCGGTTAAAATTAAGTTATTCACCAATTATTGTGGCTAGAAGATTGGTAGTCAAGTCATTTTTGCCACCTTCCAGTAAAATTCAACACTCAGTCAACGCAGAAAACCCTAGAAGCATTCGGCAAGTTGTTATAACGAATGTGGTTTCTTTTGAGTTACTCTAGCAAGACACATGAACAAACCGATTAAGAAACAGATGCACACAATTACTAACGCGTTGTACTTTAATCCTTTCCGAAAAAAGTTTACACCAGGCAAACGTGACAACACACCAACTGTTTATGATGTCCAACCTTCGTGAACCTTGTTGGAACGTGATTTGTAAAGCAGTTTTAATCCGTGCCTTAGAGATGAAATTGTGACGAACGCACGTGCTGTGACTTAATCATAAGAAGTGCGTCGGTCCGTTCAGTATTCAAACTGGAATTCGATCTTCAAGGCTTCTAGGACAAGTTGAGCTCATGAAAGCGACTATTTGAGGTCTAAACTGCACGCAACTTAATCTGGCTTGGACAGTCGCCTAAGGTGAGAGAAAGTGATTGTGTTAGCCATGACTGCTTTGAGCGAAAACATTGGGTTTTCCAAAAGGCGGAGTTGTCGGACCAACAAAACAACCCTCCCTACCCAATTCGCTACTTCCTCCAGATTAAAGGGACAAGCCTGCCGATTTATTAATTATATTTCCCACTTCAATCTCCGGATGACAAGGCGTGAAAGCGAAGAAAAGAACTTCGCCGACGAAACCGGAGTAGCCGTCCCCTTCCGAAGCCCCACCACACCCCTCACCCACTCCTCCACCGGCCTCTCTTTGCAGTTTTCGCAGTCGCTTTCGTGTTCTTATGCCAAAACTGGGTTCTGCCGCGTAGTGGTTTAAGAAAAATCAACGTCGGCTATAAAGTGGCCGAACTTGTGCACTCTGCTCTACGTCAGTTGGTGAGAGTGTGGGCGCACGATGTTATCTGCTTCGGTGAATTTTGCCTTGGCAGGGGCTAATTTCTCAGTGCAAATGTTTAAACATAATGCTGTGTGTCCGTCCATTTTGGAGTGAATGGAAGCAGAAAGAGCGTTGGAGTCCTTAATGTCCCTCTCCAGCTTGCACCCCGTGCGTTAATTTCGTGTCGGTTTTGACATGGGGGGAAGAGAGGTAGACTGGGGTTGAACTTCTTGTGTCGCCACGAGAATTGATTACACCGCCGCATTTCTTGCCAGCCACACATGCAGAAGAGGCAAGGTGAGTAGCGTCAAATTCTCCTTTGCACAGAGTATGGGAGGGAGGGCGGTCGAGGCGGGCTAGCGGAGGTTTGGCAATGGACAGTGGTGGTGGTGGTGGTAATTCTCGTGCGCAACTGTGTGTGGCACGGACATACAACATGTTTGTTGATGTCTTTACCGTCACATGCAGTGTCCAGCCCTTCACCTTAGGCAAAAATTTAATTGCATTTCATTTGTAGCATCTTTTAACTGAGGTGATTCAAAAACTCGTAGTGACTTTGAGTAACTCTGGTTTCTCTTGATTGCAAGGAGGTAAAGATGCAACTTCCACGATCGGCTAAGGTCTAGAAAATGATGCTCACTAAACACACGTGGGTTTAGTACGTTGTGTATGGACATATCGATTTTCGCGAAAGGAAATTCAAGGTCATTACCACAAATTGTGGCTCCGGATTGGATAGTGGGTAGACTTTCGTTTGATGGGCTGTTTCATGGTCATTTAGCCCAAGTCCATATACAGGAGTCAACCAATCGAATTCACGCAATCAATTAACTCGTAGCCAATGAGGACACATTCGTGAGTCGGTTGGGAATAGATTATTAGTACGGTTTTTGGAATTGATCGCCGAACAGAGTGAACGATACACCTGCGGAACTTTGTATACGTGATCCACCGACAGCTACGACACACTCGGTCACGACTCGTCAAAGTGCCGTCACTGATGACGTCTACGTGGATATCATTGGAACATGTAAGATCGCTTAAATCCATCAAATCGATTGTAGTCCTTTCAACTATTACTTAAAGTGTCACAACACTGACGCGTTAAATTTTGTAAACCCGAATTTTACTGCTGAAGGAGAGTGAGAGATCAAGAATAGTCGGATAAAAGTTATAATTGGGTGCAAAATTAAACCTATCAATCTTCACGCAATTCTGGCGGATTTTGCATCATCTCCACCAATCAGTCCACAGACCATGGGGCCTCGCGAGCTGGAGGGAAAAACTTTTCACTTTCTTACGCGCCAACCTTCAACTTTTGCCGTTTTTTGCGACCTACCTGTTCGCCCTCCCCTACCCTCCCCTCACCTCTCCCAGGTTTCGTGGTTGGCGTGATCGTTTGGATTACCCGCTGTGACCGAACGAGCCAAAGATGGTATCTCTCGCGACTTGCCTGCAGTCAAAGCAAGGGAACGCGTGCGCGCGTGCGCGCAGGCTTGCATGCACGCAATTCGCCGTGTTCAGCATGTAAAGAAAAGTTAAAACGGAAGGCGTGTTTTCGCGGTCGTGCTGTGCTTTCGGCTTTGTTACTATCGCTACACCCAATCGTCTGTCTCGGACACACACACACACGTTCTAACAAACAGTGTTTTTGGCTGTTCTCGTTTGATCTTCAGAGCCACCTTAACATGCAGGCTTATTTTCTTCTGTCTTTTTTCACTAACCAATTTCGAACTTGCAAAATGAGCATCGAATGGTCAACGGATGTTCTTGATAAGGCAAAAGTGCCGCGTCTGAGGTGTACTAACGATTAAGAATAACTAAGGTTCGGGTGGGAAGGGATTTCGGATAGATTTTGAATCCCCTAACTCTCTGGAACTTTGCAAATTGTAACCACGACTCTTCTACGATCGGATAATGATCATCATCAATCTAAAACAGGGACGATTTTGTCGCGATTGTTGGTTGATTGTGTGCAGTGGATTTCGCTTTGAAAATCTAGCGAAATCCATTCATGTCGAGTTTCAATAACGAGTATAAGACATACCGAATTGGGTCAAATTGACCGCTTATTAAGTGTATGCCTCAATTTTTACGATTTTGAAGCAAATGTATTACATAAGAAACAAATAGAGAACAGCGTACACAATCTTGGGCGTATTGTCCGTCGTTTTCTATCATCTTGTGCCATCTCTCTCAGGTAACGTACGAATGCCGTCGCGAGATAAACTTCCTTGTCCAGTGAATGGCCTTTTCTGATCAAGCTCTTCACTCAGTTTGTTCAATTGTCGGCTGTAGTCTTCCGCGGTCACCGTCTGACCACACGCCTAATCGACTTTGAAAAAAAAATTCACCCCTCATGTGTCACCACACACACAGACGGCTTCTTCAAGTGGATGCACTGTGTTGTCCAGCGTCAAATCACTATTCCACACATTTCGTTTGGGATTCTCCTAAGCGATAAACTCCTTCCTACCCGTCACAATATCCACACGAAGTGCATTCACAATT